CAAGAAGAACCCTATGTTACTAGGGCAGAAAGACAAGTTATTTCAACCTCCAAATGAAGCTAGTTTACTGGAATATTTGTGGTATTGGTAATTCTGATACGCTTATGGAGCTTTCCAATGTCTGTTATTCCCATCATCCGGATTTGGTTTGCATTTCTAAACCTATGGTGACTTTTAATTCTATTCCTTCTACTTATTGGAATTCATTAGGTCTTTTTTTGCTTACTGCTAATAACATGGGTGATTCACTGCCTAATATTTGGGTTTTGTATTCTACGAGTTATTGTTCTCCTACTATGATTTCTTCTTCAGGGCAACAAATTACTTTTCAGGCTTCTTTTGATGGTGTTCTTTCTCAATTTACTATTGTTTATGTAGCTACTACTTCGAGTCTTCGTCGTGCTTTATGGTGCGATGTTTTAAGTATTGGTTCTAATACTACATTACCTTGGATGGCAATTGGTGACTTTAATGCTATTCTTTGAGCTCATAAGCAAATAGGGGGTCACTTACCTGCTCGAACTTCGTGTGAAGACTTTCGTAGTACTACTGAGCTTTGTGATTTTACTCATATAGATACTATTGGTGCTTTTTATACTTGGAGTGTTTGTGGTAACATGGAGAGGCATCTTGACTGCTCTCTTTGTGACACACGATGGTTACAGTCTTGGCCTCATACGAGTTGTTCAGCTTTGCCCAAGGTAGTTTCTGATCACAATTGTCTTGTTTTCTCGGCATTTGCTCCTCTTCTTAGAGGACCCTGACTTTTTCAGTTTCAATCTATGCGGACTTTACATTCAGGCTTTTCTGATTTGGTTGCTAAGTGTTGGCAGTCAACTATTGCATACAGGTATCCCATGTTTGTTATGTTGGAAAAGCTCAAGGTTCTTAAATGTTGTCTTCAAGATTGGAACTCTACTGTTTTTGGTGGTGTTAATAGAAATGTCACTATTGCTAAAGAAAAACTTCACAATATCCAAAATATTATTTCTTCTTATGGGAATTCTCAAGAGAGGTTTAATGAAGAAGTTGTGGCTAAGGCAGCTGTCCTAGATGCTCTTCATTTGCAAGAAGCCTTTTAGAGCGATCATGCTTGTATTAATTGGCTTACTAAATGTGATCGTAATACTGCTTTTTTCCATGTTTATGCTAGAGGTAGGCTTTCTTCTTCCAGGATTATTACTCTTTTGGATGGGGAAAATGTGTTCTTTTCCACTAATGATTTGGCTGGTCATGTGGTAAACTTTTATCAGTCCTTATATAACTCTATATTCACTCCAAATGGAATCGAGGATGTTTGTGGTGTAATTCTGCCTATGGTTAGTGAAGAGAAAAACCTTGCTCTTTCTAGTTTACCTTAAGCTAATGAAATTTAAAATGTTGTTTTTTCCATGGATCCCTCGAGTGCTCCTGGACCTGATGGCTTTCTAGGTTCTTTTTATTAGTCATGCTGGGATCTTGTTAGTTTAGATGTTATTGCATTTGTACAAGATTTTTGTTAAGCGAGGTTGGCTTTATCCAAATGCTAATTGCAATTTTGCAGTCCTTATCCCTAAAGTAGAAGAGGCTGCCACCATTGCTCAGTATCGGCCCATTGCTCTTGTTAACTTTCTATTCAAAACTACTCCTAAGATTCTCGCTTATTAACTTGGCCCTATTATCACTCGCATAATTTCTCCTCATCAATCGACATTTTTGAAGGGTAGACATATTTCTGATTGCATTGGCTTAGTTTTAGAAGGGTTCAATTTTACAGATAAAAATGCATTTGGTGGTAATGTGGGCATAAAATTTGATATTGCTAAAGCTTTTGATACTTTGAATTGGAATTTTCTTTTTCATGTGCTTTCTCACTTTAGGTTTTCTCGTATTTTTGTGGCTTAGGTGCATGTTCTATTACAATCAACCGTCATTCAATTTTAGTAAATGGCACGCCACATGGGTTTTTCTCTTGCTCACAAAGTGTCCGTCAGGGAGATCTTCTTTCTCCACTTCTTTTTTGTCTAGCAGATGAAGCTCTAAGCAGAGGTTTATCTTTGTTTTTCTCTACTGGACGGATTACTGCTATTTCAGTTCGGCGAGGTGATGGCTCTCCAACTCATATGTTATATGCTGATGATCTTTTTTAGTTTTTTTGTTATGGGAATGTTCAATCTCTTCGTTCTCTTCGAACTTTTTTGGATAAGTGTGGTTCTGCATCAGGATAGCTTGTTAATGCAACTAAGAGTACTTTTTATCTCGGTTCAACCTCTGCCCATCATAGAGTGCATATCTCGAGATATCTTGGCTTTCGTATGGGTGTTGTTCCTTTCACTTATTTTGGGGTTCTTATTTTTTCGTAGTAAGCCAATGAGAATTCATTTTCAAGTTTTTGTAGATAAGGCTAAAACTCGTCTTTCGGGTTGGAAAGGTAAACTTCTCTCAATGGTCGGACGACTCCAATTGGTGCAATCTATTTATCAAAGCTTGTTTCTACATAACTTCTCAGTTTATCAATGACCAACTTACCTTTTAAAGCATATTTCTGCTTGTGCACAAAATTTTATTTGGTTAGGGGACTTGGCTTCCCGAAAGTTAGTCATTGTTGATTAGAGTATGGTGCATGGACCTAAGCATGAAAGTGGGCTTGCTCTTCGTGATTTGGCTGCTTTGAACTTAACGGCTTTACTTAGTTTTGGCTGGGATACTTTACAATCTTCTTCTTTGTGGGGTTCTTTCGCTCGTCAGCATTTTCCTCTTGCGGCCTAGTACAAACAAGATATTTATTTATGGTCCTGTGTGGCATGGTTTGAAGCGGGCTTTGCCTATTCTGAATAATAATAATAGTCGGTGGATTATTGGCGATGGAAAGTCAGTCTCTTTTTTGTTCGACAAATGGTTGGATGGACCGATTATTGGTCCTTCATTGTCTTCGGTCATTTCATCTACAGTTCTTTCTCGGGTTTCAAATGCTATTAAAGCTCAAAGTTGGTCTTTACCAGATTATTTTATAGATTTATTCCCTTTTGTGGTCCAACAAATTATTCTTTTACCTTTGCCTTTAAATGTAGAGAATGACAAACTGATCTAAGAGCCTTCATCGACTGGGAAATTTTCCTTTTCTTCTAGTTATCATCTTATTCGGAAAAAAAACATATCAATTGTGCTTGGGCTAAGGCTATTTGGTAACATTTTATTCCGCCTCGACTGTCTATTTTGGCTTGGCGGCTTTTCCATGACAAACTTCCTACCGAAAGGTGCACTACAACGACTTGGTATCTCTCTGGCATCCATTGTTATTTATGTCATAGTTTTGAGGAATCTACTTTTCATTTTTTTCTTCGGGTGTCGGATATCTAGGCAGCTTTAGAGGTGGTTAGCATGTCAATTTGGTACCTCTTTGCCTTTTTCAAATTCCTTGGCTACTTTTTGGGATGCTTATGTACGGAAGCCTTTTTCCCAACGATTGCACAATCTCTGGATTTTTGCAGGTCTTTCTACTATTTCGACTATTTGGAAAGCTCAAAATAAGTTTATGTTTTTGGGGCCCAATCTATTTTCGCCGTCTGTGCATGTTTATCAATTCTAGGATCGTTCATGGTGGGAAGTTTAGCCCTGGTTATTCTCAAGATTTTGACGCTCGTATCATCTCTTCTCTGGGAATCCAACCTATCTTTTGCAAGGCACCAACTATTTTTCATGTGCTTTGGTCTTCTCATTGGTTTCCTTGGATTAAACTTAATACAGATGGTTTGTCTAAAGGAAATCATGGTCCTGTTGTTTGTGGAGGAGTTTTATGGGATTGTCATGGTCAGTTTCTTGGTGGTTTCTGCTAAGGGATTGGTCATCGCAACTCTTTTTGTGTAGAATTATCATCAGTTATTATTGGTGGGGTTGGCATTGTCTTTGGCTGGAAAGTGACTCTTCTAGTGTTATTTCTGCTCTCCAATCGACTGATTTTCATCCTCACGCAATGGTTTATTTGTTTGGACCATATTCGAAAGATGACTTTCTATGCCTCTCACATATATCGCGAAGGAAATGTAGTTGCAGACAATTTTGCTAACATGGGCTTGTCTTCTCCAACTTTGGTGTAACATTATTCCCCTCCGATGGTGGTCTGTGCTGCTTTATTTTCAAACAATGTTGGCTTTCCTGGTTTCTGCTTCTCAAATTAATGTGCATCTCGGCATACAAGTTTGTCTCTCTTTCTTGTTTTATTTTTTTTCTTAACCTTTTGATGTTCCTTGTTTTTGTTTTGCAGGTTTAGACCTTTATGTTCGTCTTTAGAAGGGTTAGGTTTCATGTCCCTCCCCCCCCCCCCAGGGGCCTTTTTTCCTTGTATCTTTGTTGTTTTTGTTTCTAGAAAGATAAGGTTTATGTCCCCCTTCTTTTCATGCATTTTCTTTATCTTTTTTTTTTTTTTTTGTATTATGAGGGGTTAGGTTTATGTCCCCCCTAACTAGGTGTACTCTTTTTTTTATATCAATAAAATTCTCATCGTACTGTCAAGGTTTTCTGTAAAAAATTAAAAAATAATAATAATAAATATTGTTATTCATGATGAAAAAATGTCAAATCACATGTTTTAGTTATGAAACAGATTCAAAAAGAAATTTGTCATGAGGTTTCAATCTCCAATGTCCAACGTAAATTAATAACTTTGTCAATGACTTGTGCTCAGGGAGTGGAGGACAACTTGTATGGCTTAGGTTCACCGCGACATACAAGTTATCTTCTCCTTCACCCTCATTTTTTGGCTTCTAATTTCACATGCATCATGTTTACCAAGTTCAGATATAATAAAGCCGCATTCCCATAGTTTATACATTAATGGTGCTGCTTAGATATACTATTAAAACTGAGTTGTGGAATCAGAAGTTTGGAGTCATGAATTATATTTGACTCAAATCCTCTCCAATTCATCAAAAAAAAAAAAAAATTAGACGTTTTTTGGAGTCATGAATTACAAGAGAAATTTATTGAGATGAGAAAAAAAGAAGTTATACCTAGCCAATGAGGGACGTAAACCTTATTCTTCATAAAGCAAGAACAACAAAATACAAGAACACAGGAAGGGATATACACTTTATCCCTTTTGAAAAAGAAAATACAAGAAAAAGAAAAGGGGAAGACAAGAAAAAGAAAAGGGGAAGACATAGACTTTACCCCTCTTGAAAAAGAAAATACAAAAAAAAAAGAGGGGCGGACATAGGACCAAACCCCTCTAAAATAAAACTTAAAAGGTAAGAACCTTCAAGACAAGCTGCAAAACAAAAAAGAAAAATCCAAAAAGATTAGGAAAAAATGAAATTTGGATTGAGCTGGTTTAAGCATTTTCCAACACATCAATAAAAAAACGTCTAACATTTGAAAAGTTTATATATTTCAAAACATCTACACTTCTCCCACATTTCAATTCTATCAAAAAAAAAAAAAAACTTTATTGGAACATAAAAACTTCATCGAGTAAACCAACTTACATATGGTTCGATCGGTTTAATGCACACCCCCTAATTTTTTGTTCCTTCCCCCGTATAAGGTATTGGTACATTCATGGCTTCCTTTGTCACAACATGCTGATGCAACCTCCTGATGATCTTTTCTGCTACATCTGCAATGACTAATGAACTTTCATTATTAACTAGTTAACAACTTACGAATCATATATAGATGCTAATCAAACAACGATTTATTGTATGAGAGAGAGAGAGAGAGAGAGAGAGAGTAATTACTGTGCTTTGGATTTTCAGAAACGTTGGCAAAGACTAATTTGGATGAGAACAATAGCAATAGAATGATGGAAATCATGTAAACAACGTTGGCCTTGTGAACCATATTGTATCAGCTCGAGACACAAGTTTGGCTCCTTCGTTCCCATGTAACTAATTATATATAATGCGATGTCTAAACGCATTTTAAATTTGTTTTTTTTTTTTTGTTTTTTTTGTACAAGTAGTTGTTGACCTAGAACTGCCCAAGTCAAGGGTTTTGTCCCTTATCATTTTATGAGCTTTCCATGCTCAACTTTATAATTTGTTAAATTTTTATATTTCTTTGATTTTTTTGATTTTTTTTTTTTTTTTTGTATAATCTTTGTTTTGTTTTTTTTTTTTTTAACAAACATTTTGATATAAAAAAAAAAGTTTATATTTTTGAGTTTTTTTATGGATAAGTAAAAAATTGACAGGTATTTATAGAGTTTTGGAGAAGTTTTGGTATTGAATCTAATTTAGATTAATTAGTAATATTATTTTGACTGTTAGATTTAAATGTGAGTTGTTGAATCTTTTTTATTACCGTTATAATTGATTAAATTGGATTGAGCCGTTAGATTAAAAAAAGATGTAGCCGGGTACGCATCACTAGATCATAATTCAGGAGGCGCGACATCCAATGGTGACAACGGCTTGTGCATATCAACTGTAAAAACTAGGCTTGCTATGAGCCCACCCGCATTGAATCTTTCTATTATGTTTCCTTTGACCTGCGTGCCCGCCATTCCCCCTTTGGAGATAATTTGGACCAAAAACTCGGGTTTTAACCAGAAACGTCCCACTCAAATTTATATCCAAACGACTTGCACTTGCATGCACCGCACTCGAAATAACAAAACGATCAAAATCACGAGTTAATGAAATTGTGGAAATTTCTTGTTGTTATTATGGCTGAGGTCTCCAATGTTGACATCTCCTATGGAATTAAGCATGGAAGAAGACAAAACTAAAGTTTGCAGATTGGACCAGAAAAAGAAGCCTTCTTAGTTTTCCTTTGAATGGAAGTTTTAACGAAACACTTCCAGTACTGTTTACTTTTAACGAAAAATGACATTTTACCTTTCTTGTTACTATTCACTTACACATTGATTTTGTCCTTTTTCATTAAAACTAAAAGTTTTTTTAAAACTTTTCGTTAGTTTTCCTCTGAATTTCTTCCAAACCCCCATCTAACTCATGACTAACGTATGCTCCTCACATTGTTTGTGAGGATGTGAGGAATGTCCTACTTAGAGAGATTTTTTTTAAGAGGTGATGTTAGGAAGGCCAAATTTTTAAATCGAATGATGTGGTGGTGAATGATTCGATAATTATGTTTTTTACAAACGATATTATTGATGAGTCGATTTTATACTATATATTATTCCCTATTCTTGGTATATTTTGGTTATTATTTTGATGAGATTTTGATGTTTTGTTATATATTTCCAATATAGGACGTGTGGACTTGTTTGAAGCATAAAGTGAACAAACAGTGGAATTTTGAGTCATTCTAATTGGAGCGGCTTCATGAGTTTGTCAAGAAGGGTGTATTAAAATTTCATAATTTTATCCTGAAGTATCTGTTCATGGTGAATTAATTTATGGCCATCATGCAGTGTTGGCAGATTGATTGGGCTACAAAGTTTGTTTGCGACTTTTGGGCTGGAAAATGATGGATTTTGGACTTGGGTTCTTCTTGGAACTTGAAGAGGAGGTCCTAATCTTTAACTTGATTCGTTTTGGGCCTGTTTTGAAGTCCTGAAGGTCCAGAAACGTGGCTTCTCCTTTGCTAGGCAGATTTTCTAGTCAAAATAGGAATGTAATTTTTAGTTATCCTTTTATTATCTTATTTCCTAGTTTTTAGAAAACCCTTCTATGAGGGTTTTAATTGGGAGTAGTATAAATAAGGCTTTTTAGCCATTAGGGTTCTCTACGGAGCATGGAGAGAACTTAGCAGAGCTTTGGAGAATTTCAGACTTTTTATCCACAATGTGTTTTCAATCTTTTTCTAGTTAATGATATTTATCTTTGATTTTTAGTATGAGTATGCGTAACTAATTCTTTTTGCAAGGGTTGGGCCATAAGCCATAGCGTGAATATGTGATTTTATTAATTTGCTTATGAATGGATGTATGCTTGCTTTAAATTATTAATTACTGTGATTAAATTATCTATATATTTTAATGATTGATCACCATTAAGATATTTGGACAAGTAATTTGATGCAATTTTTGTTGGAACATCACCCTGAAATTGAGGAGGGCTTCTTGTGATTAATAGTTGTAAGTTTACTTAAAGCAAACATCACGCTCTTAAGGGTTGCATGGTTTTTCATAGGGTTTTCATAAAGCTTAATGAGTCTTGCATGTTTATATTTGATCTAAACATCATAGCCAGATTGCATGTTAGATATACATTTTTGCTTGAACATCACAAGGGAAATATGCATTAGGAAAACCTAACCTTCAAAGCATGTATGTGGAAATTCATAAGTGATTAGTAAAATTACATAGGATTGTTATTGGTGATGGCTAAACCCTAGTCTTTCCCTAAATTGATTTTAATTTAAAAAAATGCTTTTCTCTTTGCTGCCTTTATTTCCAAACTTCTAAATTTCTTTAATTGTTAATTTAATATTTTCGAATTCAAAAATTTTCAAATCTTTGATACAAAATCTGTTTTAATAATTAATTAAGAGTTAGTTTAATGACAAGCTAATCAAACAATCTCTGGGGACAACGACCTTGCATGAGCAATTATACTACAAGTACCTTGTATTCTTGCAAGTATTTCCAGTGATTTTAACCCTATTTCCACAGGTGGTAAAAATACCTATCAATTATCTACACTAATGGATGGGGGAGTGGCTAAGCCTCACAATGGGCTAACAATAATGTAATTCAAATTCGCCTTTGGCAAGAATCGAATCTAATACTTCTCATTTACTAGCGAAGAGGAATATCACAAAACCTTAGTACTAAGTGGCAATTATTACTTAAGTGTTGATTAATATGCTTATTTCCTATTAGTGACATCATTTGATTTGCAAATTTAGTTTTAAAATTTGGTCTTCCTAGCATTATCCTTTTTTTAAGTACGGGGTATTTAATCAATACTATGCATGTCATAATAAAAGTGAAGCAAATGATATATTTTTTTTGTGTCATTCTTCTTATTTTATAACACATGGGGTTCCTGCTTGAATATCGGATACTCAAAAAAATTTCTCCTAACTTAAAAAGTTCAAGGATTAATATCAAGTACTAATTCTAAGTCGCGCATCTGTCACTTATAGAGAATACACTTGCAAGCGCGGTAGACTAATGATTAAGATGTGATTTCTGCATTAACCTTTATATTCAGCATACTCCTCTTTTTTATAGTCTGTTATATATTTAATAAAGCAAATCAATTAAGAGAAAACGACAATGCAAAAATATACTACTTGTAATTAGGGGTGGTTTGGTTTGAGATAGAGAACCAAAATGGTCCGTTCGAAAACCGAACCGCAATTGTTCGCGAAAAGAGGGCAAAAAACCGAAACCAAACCAATATTTCAGTTTTCTCGAAATTCGGTAATACTGAAATAGTTCGGCTTTTCGATTCAGGCTCAAGAATGGGCCTTCATGTCAAATTTTTTTTGGGCTTCTAATTTTAAGCCCTACAAAACCCAATTTTGCCCAAAATTTTTAAGCCCCAAATGTTAAGTTGTGGCCCTATGCTCATGTTCTCTATTCCTCTCCGTTTATTGAGCAAAAACACTTTTGATTTTTTTTTTTTTTTAAACCCAATTTAATGAAAAAGTTTGTATCTTACTATGATCACATCAATTTAAAAATTCGTACAGAAAGGAAACAAATTGCTACAATTGCATTAGTACACCGTTACAGTACAGACCTCAACAATCCCCTAATCTCCACAATCCCCTCAACCATCACACAAAAGGACTAACCTCAACAGTCCCCTAATCTCAAATCAAAATTCGAAACCCAAATTGAAACTCTAATCCCCATTTCAGAATCCCAAATCAAAATCCTAATTTAAATATGAAGAATTAAAGGAAAATTTCTTAACTTGAGTGTGACTTGATCAAGAGAGTCAGAGAGGAGTAGAGAGACAGAGACGTGCGGTGTTGTGGGTGTGACGTGGCTGGAATCAAGATCGACCAAGAGAGAGACGTGTGGTGTTGTGGGTGGGTGGGGCCAAAGTCGAGATCAGGTGGTTGGGGCTCAAGTGGACCGAGTCGAGAGAAAGACAAAAATCGGGTTACTATGTTAAGGAAGAAGAGAAGAAGAACTAAAGAAATGAGAGTCAAGAGAGAGAAACGAACCAAGAGACTAAGAAAGGAGTTGAGAGAAAGAGAGAGAGAGATAGTTGTGGAGGTCACTGTGATGTGATAAGGGTGGCTGGAGTAGGAACTTGGGCGACAAAGTTAGGGGAGAAGGAGAGCTTGGGGATTTAAGGTTCAAAGTTGGGAGGAAGAGTTGAGAGAGTGATCTAAGTGAGGTGAGGTCAAGAGAGAATGGTTGTTTTTTTTTTTGGGTAAAGTAAAGTTCATTCAAAGAACTAAAATATACTCAAAGCCCACAATATACACAAATCCCTCCTCCAAAGACCCAAACAAAAGGCATAAGGCCCGACCCATACAAACGCTAACACAACGAGCCAAAACAAAAAAACAAAAAACCCCCCAATTGGAATACCATACACATCAGCCGCCAAAACCCTATGAAAATAATCATCCATCCCCAAGGTTGCCAAAATTGCCCCAATTTGCGCACAATTCAAGTCATCCAAATAAACTCCACACTTCCAGTCGAAGCATCGGCACCCAAGGAGCTTCCAGATCAAAGCTCAGTCACCGAGGAGAACAATCCCATCAAAACAGTTGCGGCGGAAAGTGACGATACGTAGACCCAAACCGAAGTTCTGCACACCTTTCCTAGCAGAATTGAAACTTCACCAGAGGAAATTTCAACTTTGAACTGGGTATCGAGAACATGACTAAGAACGGGAGTTGAAACTAGAAGATCAGATAGATCTACACAAGGATCCGAGTCAGAATTACAAGCTATCTAGAAGGGACATAGGATACAGGCCAAAGGAAAAAATAGGAAGAGGGACTAGGGCTGCTACCAACCCAAGCCATAGCTGGGATTGGCAGCAGCAAAAGTGAGAAAGAACTAAAGAACCAACCTTGAAAACTAAAGAAAACACTCACACGCCAGAGAGAAACTCTCTCACGGAGAGAAAAGCTCTCACCAAAATGGGAGAGAAAAAGTGGGGTCAAGAAGGGTTGGTTTTGAGTGAATGGTTAAGATAAATCTCAACCAATCTGATGACTATAAAAAATTAATATTACAAATTAAAACAAAATATACACACACACACACACATAGATATATTTCGGTTCGATTTGGTCTTATCAAACTAATCCAAGTTTCATGCCAAATCTCTTACCAAATTTTTCAATTTCGGTTCAACTTCGGGTACCAAATTTTCGGGATTGTCCATTCGATTCAGTTCGGTTTCGGTAGGTTTGTTTTTTTTTGGTATTTTATTCCACCACTATTGTAACATCAAATATTCAGGGGCTGTCTTTGCTTCTCTCTCCCTTCTTTTTTGTCATGTGCCTACAAACTTACATTAAAAAAATAAAAAAAAACCATGTGGTGAACAATTGAAACCGCATTATTTAATACTAATTTGTAATGAAAACTAGTAACAAACATAACACAGACAAAGTCTAACTAGTCATATCTCACATTTAAAGTGCAGTGTCAAACAAATGCAGGCAGATGGAAGCTCTCATGGCAACCGACAAAATGCCAGAGAACCGTTTGAGACCAAAACTTTCGCTGCTCGGAAGACCCGGTAGCAGTTTGACAGGTTCGCCCTTGTTACTCATACTAAATTGGCGATATCAGATGCAGAATGGAACACGGAAGAGTTCCCAATTCCCCAAGACAGCAGTCACCAGCAGGAATGAGAAAAGCTGAAAAGATATAACCATCAAAACGATTTCTTCTCGTAAGAAACCAGACCATGAACTCCACCTTCTACTTGTGCTGCTCCTGTTCTTACCTGCATAGTAAAATACATTGTCAACTAATTGAGAAACCATATTAGTTCTTGATACGACCATCATTACATCTCAGATTCCTTGAGCAATAACAAGGTAATCGTGGAGTGCAATCTTACTTTAGGTAATATATGGGGATGGAAAACTATCTAAGAAGTAAATAAGTGTCTGAATATGAGTGACACGCAATGGCATCACTCTAGATTAATAGGTTTCTTCCCCACTCCTTTCGGTAGTTTAACCTAAAAGTGTTGAACAAGAATACAACATGATATGGAACAGACTACGAAAGAGTAAGTTATCGAAAGAAACATTGGCTACAATATCAGTTCTCATTTAAAGCATAGAACTAAATTGACATCCTTAATAACGATGATATGAATAACACAACAACATCTGCAAAATGGTCTACTTACCTCTAGCCTTAAAACACTTGATTTTAAGAGGTCATGAGCAGACTGCAATGAAGAAGCACCAAGATCTTGGAAACCTTGTTTCACAGCTTGCATTGTATATGGTATGAACTTCAAAACAGAACCTTTGTCTGCAACTGCCCCAACAACCCCCTGTGCAATTTTCAGCTTGGCTGTATCGCCCAAGTACCTCTGATCACTCCCTTTTGACATTGCTTCAAGAGACCCCATGCCTCGATATTTTTTGACTCGGCGACCATTCTATTGGAAAAAATGAAATCACTTATATCAAACTGTTTCCTTAATAGAGGTTAAGCGTGCAGAAAGCTAATTAACAATGACAAAGAAATAACAAACAGCATGTTGCTTATAAAAGACAAGTTTACTGTAAATCCAGTGCAATTTATGTAGACAATTTTTGCTTTTAGTTCACAAATAAAGGAAGATACACATAATTTGGGTCGTAGGTTAGATTAGCAAAGACCCTCTTTCAAATAATCAATTGCTTAATTAGATAGTTACCATAAAAAAATAAAAAATAAAAAATAAAAGCAAAGACACAGAAATTAAATACTATGTCCAATACACTTCCCCATAAGTTTAGCTTTGACATGCATCCATGAAAAACCCAATCACAATTTCAGGGAACCAGACCCGTATCTAGCCTAATCCTAACCCCTTTTGCCACTTACTGTCACCACTTGGGTTAACCCGAAGGAGTCCAAAACCCCTTACTGTATGTAGGCTTCAAACTGATTAAGTTCAGGTCATCAGGGAGAGAGTCCATGCAAACATACCAATGGCATTCCTAATAATGTAAAAGCATTAAAGATTGATGGCAAACCATAACACATCAATGACTGATCCGTCGAACGATATTGATGCAGTCCAAAAAGGATGAGAAATAACTCAGGATGTCTAACATACTAAGAAAAACATATCTTCTAGATAAGTTTCTTGACCAATCACAGCTGCAATTCAGTATTCATAAATCAGCCTAATAAACTCCTTAAACCACTCAAAAAGTTGTCAAAGAACTAGAAAAGACATATGTAGTAAACACTCATACAAACGAGAAGAAACATCCAAGTAGATTTAATATCTGATGGTATGAGCAGTATAACTGTTCCAGCAATATAAACATAAGTATGTCCCAGACATACCTGATACACAAAAACCCCGGGAGCCTCCGTGCTTCCAGCTAAGAAGCTTCCCATCATGACAGTAGAAGCCCCAAGGACCAAAGCCTTGACAATGTGTCCAGAATTGGAAATTCCACCATCAGCAATCACGGGCACACCACTTTGTGAAGCAATAGACGCAACCTTGTAAACAGCAGTTGCCTGAAACATATCACCAAAACCAAAACAACTTTGGTCATAAAATGGTATAGCATTCAGCAACCTGTAGAACAAAACGTCAAACAAAGTCTTCAAAAAGTTCCAAAATGTAATTATATATCTTTTCACTCCACAAACTACACTGTTTTAGTCCATCAAAGGGTTGTCACTGCCAGAAGCTAAAGTCGAACCTTTGTTTTCTACGCCCTATGTTCTTAAGTATCTAATAACTAAATAGTAAAACACCCATCAAAACAACGATTGTTAGGCACAATGTCATTGATCAACAAATCCTTAATCAAATATTTTTCATCCACATAGAATTCAAGAAATTTAACCGATCACTACAAATACCATAACTTTCAACACCTCCAGATTCTACAAATCCTTAAATTAGCCACCAATAATGAGGATGTCAAACTGAAGCATCAATCACAAAAGCAACAACTAACAAAAAGAAGGCATCTTTATACCTGTCCGCGACCAACAGCGCAGACCTCTTGAGTGGTACAAATTGAGCCAGACCCCATTCCAACCCTCAACCCGTCAACACCAGCCTGAATCAAATTCTGCGCCTGACTCACCGTCACCACATTCCCGCCAACTACATCCAAATTCGAGTACATTTTCTTCAAATACTTTATCATCTCAATCTGATAAATGGAGTTCCCCTGAGAGCTATCCAACACCACTACATCCACCCCTGCCTTCACCAACTCCTCCAACCTCTCCTTATCCGACTCCCTCGTCCCGATCGCCGCCCCAACCCGCCAAGTCCCGTCGGGACCCACCGTCCCAACCCCCAATTTGGGGTACCCTTTAATCCTCTCCACCTCCTCCTTCGCCACCACATCCACCACCTCATTTTCCCTCACAGTCGCCACCAAATCTCGTTTTTTCTCCTCCATGTACTCCCCAATCGCCCCCAAATCGTAACCCCACGGCACCGTGAAGTCCGTACAGTTCACCATGTAATCGTAAATCTTCACCTCCTTGTCCCCCAATTTCACCCAATCCTTGCCCGCCACGTACCCCAAAAGCTTCGAATTGGGGCTGCCACTCTCAGTAACCAGGACGTAGGGATTGGAAGCATCGAAAACGTCGTCAGATTGGATTCGATCGCTTGGGGATTTGAAGACGGGGTTCGAAAGAAGCGGGACCCGGCGGGACTTGACGGACCGGACCATGTGGGCTTGCTCGGACGACGTCAAGTTGGAGTGGATGATGCCTATGCCGCCGAGTGCGGCCATCGAAATGGCCATGTGGGACTCGGTGACGGTGTCCATCGGGGACGAGACGCAGGGAATCGAGAGAGGGATGCGGCGGCTGAGGTTGGAGGCTAGATGGACGGAGTCGGTGGGGAAGTCGATGTAGTGAGGGAGGAAGATGACGTCATCGTATGTGTAGGAGTAGCCCTGGTTGAAGAGCCGGTCAGAGGAGAAGCCGTCTTCGAAGATTGAGGCCGACATTACGGTGGCTGTAGTGGGCGTCAAACGGTGGCGGCGCCGCCTAGAGAAAGAGAAATGGTTGGGAGGAAGGCGCGGGTTCAGGGTTTTTGCGTGAGATGTTTTCCTTGCTTCGGTGTTTGGGAGGGAAGCGGAGTAGTGGACTTCTGCCAGTGAGTCGGCTGCTACTAATATGGAGGGAAACGTCCAAATATATTGGTTGGGTGTGGGCGGCTGCATGACACCTAGCCGTGTTGCTTCTTTCTGTTTCTCTCTTTTTTCCTCTTATTTTTTCTGGTTTTTATCAGTTTTTGTTTAGTTCTTGACTAAATTTAGTTTGATACTTACTAGTCTAACAAGTTCTCTAATGATATTCAATGAGTACAAGGGCCGGTGGTGATCATCAAGTCTTTGATAAAATGTCTAATCGGCAAATGTTGGTAGAGATCGACAAGTTATGTCTTAATTTCGTTAGATATCAATAGACCCATTAAGTATTTGACAAAATGCGTCACTAATAGAATTATGCATTAAATCAACTGAAGTCAAACAATTTGCATGCCAAACATTGTTTTTATTGTGAAAAGTTTTGAACTTTACGTTAAGAACTCATAAGATGCGATTTCTAAATATACTGCTAACCCGACTTTATCTTAATTACTTGTTTTGGTTTCACAATTTCAAATTTTATTAGTTGAAGTTTTTCTTTTTATTAAGTGGTGGCCGTAGATGTGGATAAAGGAGTATACAATTCCGAACATAGGGAGTCACATCCTAGTAGATCAACCACATTACAACATTATCATAATACTAAAAGATGTTTCCAAATCTTAGGATAATAATCCATGTTAATTAATAAGTGGATTGCAGCTGTTTGGCACTAACAAAAGCACATTTGTCATGATCAGTTGAGCCATTGGCTTTGAACCTAACCAAGTTTGCATAAAAAAAAATATATATATATATATATATATATATAAACAATTTATAACATGAGAAATTATTGAAGTTTGTATTCATGATTGAACAAGAAGTTATCTTTACATTGTACTTACAAAATTCCTATTCAAATTAGGGTTACATACACTGAAATTTTGTACTTTTCTTATCGAAAAGTTGAAAAGAAAAAGAAAAAGAAAGAAAAAATGGATTTGCATTGTCATTGTGATCGAATTTATTTTGATATCAATAATAAACAAATTGACACCCATCATAACCTAAGACGTCACCAAGATAATGGATCAGTTTTCTATATAAATTAAAATGCAATATGGAAAAGTATTGGGACTAAACAAGAAATGAGTGTTAGTGAAATTATTGAAATATGTACTCTCTTACTTGGATATGCAGTAACTAGCATGGCAGTTCCTCCAAAAGAACAAGTGCCACCAGCAACCTTAGTCCTTTGACAGTAACTATTGAAGGCACTGGAAGCATGGGCAAACAATGTGTCGGGCATGAAGCATGACCCATTGGGTTGGATGGAGGCGCAATAGCTTCTTGGATGATGGGGTCGGGCAGAGATGACTTAGCCACGCACGACAGGGCCACCGTCGGGCCTCGTCTTGGACTCGGTGGCGTAGTGGGCGGAGGGAACACAACGGGAGGTAGGAACACCGGCGGGCTTGGTTGAAACCCAATAGGAGATGGAACCGAAGAAGGCGGGCTAGGCTTGAAATAAGGTGGGCTTGGGATGTAGATATTGGGACTAGGTATAAAGCCCGGCGGGCTTGGAACGCTTTCGGGCGGGTTGGGAGGGGATGGATGGTTGTGTGCCGGGTACCAGGCTCGTTTGTCTCTCTGTTAGTTCGTGTGATCGTCCTTTCCCACCTCTAAGATAAGGCATAAATAAATTGTATTCTTCATCCTTAATATTATTTCCAAATTATTTCCTAAGACTATTTATGTGTGAGTAACTTTTTCTTTCTCTTCCTTCACACAAAATGAAAAAGCAAATCAGCAATTCAAGCAAGCAAAACACATAGCAGTGAAACATAAACAAGCCACATAATAGATGTGTATCTGCATCGTTCTCTTCTTGTCTGCTTCTTATTTTTCTTTTGCAGGTCTTCTTCCTCTGCCTCTGTTAGTTGTGGTGTTCAAGTTTTGAATCACTTAGGAGTAATCCATCTCGAGAAATCCTAAACTCAATCGAGCAATACTTGACGTCTAAAGTTTAGCACGAGACTTTGACAATGCAATTTTCTGAGCAAAAGCCTTGCAGATTTGGTAGAGAAAGTTTCAATTTTTGCAGCTGTCTAAACGAACAAAGGAACCAGCATCTCCAGTTAACCTCCTTGATGAACCAACCAAAGTCTAGTTATCATAATCAGATAAAAGAAATTAACAATCTAACAAAGTAAAAAAAATGAAAATAAAAAAACGCCGATAACAGTTCAACCACGGAACCTCATTATTACTAGAAAATAACACCACTAGCACCTCTAGTTAACATCCTTGATTAATTAACCAAACTTTTTAATTTATATGCTTATAGAATCATATATGAATACAATACTATAATAATTTTTGTGCCCCATTTTTGGGGCCCAACGGTCACCTAGCTGGCACTAGATCAGGACAGGCCCTAATAATTTGGTTTTAAAAATAAGAATGTCAATTATGCTACTAATCAGTCTTTAGATTCATGTTATGAAACTAAATTAGTTGTTATTCCATTATTCAGTAAGATTATTGATCACACCTCTTCTACAAAAATCATTAAAACTTAAATGTATTCTAACTTAAATTATGTCTTTCTCACAAACATACTTGATCAGAATTCCGGTTGTACATTTTACAGCGCACGAACTTTTTTCTTTTGAAAGCATGAACTATTTGTTGTGATAGGAAGGTTGGTATAAAGCGATCAAATTGCTGAAAAAAGGTCCTCTCCAACTGATAGAAAACCAAATTCGTTTCCCCCAATAAAACGCAAAGTAACCATACTTTATCACTATTTTTTATATAATATAAATATGTTGATGTCAAAATTCATTGCAAGTATTTTAGTAACTAAATTTTTCCTTGCCTAGGCTATTTTCTTGGCAATGAGAGTACTGCTGGGAAATTTTTGGTGTTCCAGTGGACAACTTTTGTCATATTTTATTAATGTAAATGAAACAATATTCCTTAATATTTTTGTTATATAAATAGCCCCAACATTTCATAATCTTTTTTATATCTCCATCTAATCTTTTTAGCATGTAGATAGAAAAAATCTATGATCTTCTGTATGTAGACTGTATAATCTTTTGTATGTAAAAATCTTCATAACGTTTTCAATATAAATAGTATTAAATGACATAATTTTTATTATATCTTTCAACATAATCTTGCATACAATTTTTAGCCCTACAGCAATGCGCATGCACCAATTTCTAGTAAATACCAAATAGGATATTTTGGTCTAACCATTTACTTGGTAATACATGTGGGACTTGCTGTTGAGTGAGTCCAGCTAGCACTCCTCTCTTATTCTCAATTTAACTACAAATATAACAAACTACATATATGATATATTTAAACAAGACGATCTGAATTTCGTGCCAACTCAAACAATATCAAACGCAATTTAAATCTTAATGAGTTGTTCAAGTGTGATGTCTGGTCCTCCAGTGGAAGCTGCAGTTTGGAATGATAACGACTGAGAAACCATGTGCATTGTTGGCCTCGATTGCGGTCGCGAATCCCTGCATGTGATTGCTACCCTTGCAATGGTTGTCAGTTCATGTTCAACTTCAAGTGTAGGAGGTGGGATCCGTTGGTCCAATATGTCATTCAGCAATTTGTTTTCACACACAGATGGAGACGAAAAGGACGAGATTAAATCACCTAGTCTTTTTCCCGTGATCACTTCCAATGCCAGCACTCCGAAGCTATAAACGTCACATTTCTCAGTTACCTTCCTTGTGTAGGCCAACTCTGCATAAAAATTAAGGGAGAGCAAGCCATTAGTATATATTTAAATTTATATTATCACATTTCAATATTTTATATTTTAACTGTTTTCCTTTACCTGGTGCTACATATCCATATGTGCCTGCAAGTGAGCTCCAATTCGATGAGTCCGGATTCAAAAGCTTAGCAGTACCGAAGTCTGAAATACAAGGCTCATAGTCATAATCCAGCAAAATGTTGTTGGTTGATAAGTCTCGGTGTACAATTGGCGGCACGCAATCATGATGCAGGTAAGACAGTGCATGAGCTACGCCTTTTACAATTCTCACCCTCCTACTCCAATCCAATTCTTTTGCTTTGTCTTCTTTGCTCAAGATTGAAGCCAGACTACCCTTTTCTAGGTATTCATAGACCAGAAATGAGTGCTGTGAATTCGAACAAAAACCACAAAGTTTCACAATGTTTCGATGTCGTATGTTGATCAGTGCACTTATTTCATTGTGGAACTCCTTCTGCGATGTCTCCTCGCCGTCAAGTTGTTGATGGAGTTTCTTCACTGCAACCATGCTGCCTGATGGTAGCTTTGCCTTGTAGACACTTCCAGATCCTCCTTTCCCAATGCAAAATATGGAGTCAAAACCATTGGTTGCTCTTATGATCTCCCAATACAATTTTTTTCCATCAAAAAGAGAGATTGAAAAAATTTCATCATGGATATCACTCTTTTCTATTCCTGGCTCTTTCTTTCTTCTTGTTTTGATGAAGACAATTGCAAGGAGAGCAAGTGAAACTGATCCCAAGATAGGGAAAACGATTGCAAACAAAAGTTTTCTTTGGTTTTTTCTTTTTGAGACGTGCTTATTGCAGGATTCTAGACCTACAATATTTCCACACAATCCTTCATTCCCTTCAAAGCTGTGAGCATCTTGAAATGCTTTGTTGTTGGGGATGGGACCTTGCAAGTGATTGTAGGATACGTCTACGTACGACAAGCCACGCATTCCATCAAAAGTTGCTGGAATGAGACCAGAAAGATTATTGTGGGAAAGATTCAGCACCTCCAAGCTCTGCATATTGCTGATTTCTGATGGTATCTTGCCGTCAAGTGAGTTACGACTTACATCTAACTGTGACAGGTGAAATAAATTCCCCAACTGAAATGGAATTTCATGACTGAAATTGTTGTTGCTCAAATTCAAGTAGTTTAAATGGACCAATTGTCCCAAAATGCTTGGAATTGAGCCATT